ACCGGACTAGTAAACTTATACGATTTATGCGCTGCTCTAGGAAGACGATGGTAGCATCCAATAGACATGAGAATTTATACTGGTTTAGGCTAGAGCCCTACGTCCAGTCTCAGAGATGATCGAGTGTGTGTTCCTCGCTTGAATGCTCTGAAGTTCTTACAATGGGGCCTAGCTAACTTGTCTTGCAAGCTACGACGTCTTCTGGTGCACGTTCGGTCGTGGCTATCGTCATGGTGTTCTGGCCATGTTGCGGCAGGATGTGACGTGGTGCTACCGTGCCGACCGTGGCGGCACTGTAGCCTCGATGGCGGTTCGTCGGCTGTCCTGTGCAATGCAGTGTCCATCGTGGCCTTCATCATCGTCTCCTGGTTCCTAGGGGCGTCGTACCCAAAGTAGGTAGCTGTCCTGGGTCGTCGATCGCTTGGTGGCTTTGCGGGGCCGAGGGCCATGACCCCGATCGTCGAGGTCGGGCACTCTACCGGTCTGGATGGCCTTTTCATCGAGCCCCTTGTCTTGGATCCCCATCCCATAGTGGGTAGGATCGTACAAGCATCTAGTCGGTCCGTATTTGGACGGTGGGTGTCGTACCCGTTGCCACCATGGTGCGGTGTGGTCTCATCGGTGCGGCATGGCACAGGGATGGTGTCTGACCGGGCCGAGGTGACTGTCGTCCCCTCGGTCCTTGCGGGGTCAGTGTGGCATGCTTGCTCTTGTGAGAGCAGGCGCGCCTAGCTGCGCTCGACCTCCCTCATCCCTCCCGGGGGTCGTGACTGGGAGAGGTCATGCGTCTTGCGAGCGTTGTGTGCTAAGGCGGATGGAAGGGGTCGGGGATGATCCCGGCCTTGGCGCCTGCCCGCTCCGCTCGGCTTTTGCTGGGCCTCGGTCGTTCGGGCCTTTGTTAGCCATTGTGTTGCGGGCGCGTGGCCTGCTAACTAATCGGTGCCTTGAGACACCCCGGGGTTACAACCCCGACAGTATTGGAATTGGACTCTATATCCATCATCGTGAGTTGTTCTAACTCTTATGAGTATGGGGTCATGAGCTCGGTGATCAGATCTTATACAAAACAGGGAGGGTGTGAGTGCAGTTTGGAAAGTAAAAAATGATATTTTTGCCATTAGGCATCTATAAACCTGCGGAGTACACAATTAGGCTAGGCATAGTAGTGACTATTAAGATTGTCTTTTATTGGCCTTTGTCTAGCGTCTTTATCATTGAAGGATAAATTTTTATAGACTATTTACCCCCTCTAGCTATCTAAATATTTTCAGTTAGAAAGTTTCTTTAGCACATATTTAAATTTACTATGTATGGAATGAGTTTTGAGCTTCGTCTCTTAGCTTGGCCCCTCTAGATCTTATGTCAAGCTCGGCCACTGCAACAATCTAGTGAATAGGGCCTTTACACATGTATCAGTGGATAGCACAATGGTTTATAATCAATTTACGTATAAACAATCTCTCAATCAGCATATAATTAGCATGCCATCGGAAGCACAATTTATATATTAATGTGTAAGTTTAGGGACCTAAATTACACCAGCGTACAAGTTTTAGAACTTAAATATCGAAATTCGAGAGTTAGAGACCCAAATGACATTATAGTAAAATTTTAGGGATCCATAAATTAAAATTTAGGAGTTAGTGACCCATATGACACCACTGTGCAAGATTAGGGAGCTCTTGTGAATTTTACTCTTTGAAATGTTACTTCTAGACTCTAGTAGGTAAACAGAGTAATGTAGCATTGCCCCTGCAAAACTGTACATTTTTTGAGGAAAAGAGATGCTGAAATTGTTAACCAACATTTCTCCTTCCCTGCTCGTTGTCCATCACTTCCGACTTCGTTGTAATGGCGTGGACTTTCTCTCGTGAGTAGCAGTCTATCACTCGATTTTATTGTAGCACAAGTGTTATTTCTAATGGAATTAATCCAACATTGATTGTTTATATAGGTTTGAACTAGCTAGTTTATAATTCTTATTGTTGCAAACTTAGCACCACTTTACACAAAACCTTGCGTATCTCAATTAACTCTTTTACACTAAGTATATATTAAGTAGGGATGAAAGTATAGCAAATATATTCCTTTTTATTTACTTTAGTTCCTAAACGAATTCAAATAAAAATTTTGAACTAAAAAAATTTATATCTCTTTGAGTAATACAACTTTGGTTAGGTCATTTATCCATCCAAGATCATTTGAAAAATTCAAGAAAAATATGAATTTCAAAATCATTAGTCTTAAAATAAAATTTAGTCTCTATATGATTTCAAAAGAAAAGATTGCCAACTATAAAGTTTCATATATCTTCGAGTATTATAACTTTTGTTTAAGTCATTTCTCCGATACTTTAAAAAAAATAAAAAACAATTAATTTAAAAATCTAAATCGTTAAACAGAATTTCTAAACACTAAATGATTTTAAATGAAAAGGTAGTAAACTACAAAGTTGCAGTGGTACTACAACTTTGGTTTAGATCTTTTCTCCATTTGAGGTTATTTGGAATACTAAAAAAATTGAACTTCAAATCTAAAAACTTTAAACAGATTTTTTGTGCACCAAATGAATTCAAATGGTAAAGTTTTTAACTACGAAGTTTTATATCTCATGGAATACTATAACTCTACTATGAAGTTTTTCTCCATCTGACTTAATTTTTAAAAAAAGTTATTAATTTTACTATATTCCACTTATTGTTGGAGATGACTATAATTTCAACCGTTTCTAGAGTCTTCGGTCTCGTTCGCGTGCTCTTAAACCCGGCTTGATCCGCTTCTTTTTTCATCCGGAACAGTGTTTTTCTCTCACAAATTCCTCCAGTATTCCTCCAAACCATCCAAATTTCTCCAGAATTCCTCTAAGCGAACAGGCCCTTCATTTCTAAAGGTGGATGGCAAACCGCATTGCCTCTAAAAATAGTTTTTTTTAGCTAAACCGCTTTTAGAAATTAATTTGTAAAGGTGGATCGACTCATAAACCATTTTTATAGCCCCATTTTGATTGAACAGTGTCTACGAAAAATACTTCGTTGCTAAAAAATTCATCTCTAGTACACAATCTGTGGCACGTGAGAAGATAAGCGATGAGCAAAATTTTCTGCCTATGCTTGCGATAGACATCCGCCGGCCAATATTCCACCGCAGGCATCTTCTCAAAAGGATCATGTCGGCGGTCGGCCAATCAATGCTTGAAGTTTTGAGCTTTGACAAGCGAAGGATAAGATCGCAGGCCGCCCAACCGCGCCCAACGAGCCCACACAATTTGACCCAAGTTATGGATTGCAGCCCATGTGATGTGAGAGGACCAAAGGGGTAACGGGCCACATGCAATTTTTTTAGCTTTCTTTAAAATCAATATATTCTTATTTATTATAATCTCTTAAATTATTTAAGAAGATTTAACCTTTTAAGAAAAAACAAGTTTAACCAGAGCACTCTTAGACCAGATTCAATGAGGGGTTTTATGTCCTAGTTTCCAAGACACCATAGGTAAAAAAACAGTGTCAATAAACCATAAAACTCATTTCATCTCATGAAACTTATCGTCTATTTCATGACATGTCAACCAGTTTAATACCATGAAACTCTCGTAAAACTCTCGTTGAGACCGACCTTAAAACAAACCACCAAACCAATTGAGCCTTTTTGTCCAGCCCGCAGAGATGTGGCTTCTTGTGATAATAGCAGTCAACGAATCATACCCATAACCTATAATATATAGTTACTTCCCATCCAAAAAAAAATGCACTTCACATTCTTTAAGAAGTCAAAAAAATTCAAATTTGACAAAAGCCCTATTTAAATTAACTGAAATAAGTTGCTAGTTGGTAAAAAGACCTCTAGTTGATCTGAATACGACTTATAGTCTAATTTAAGCTATTTAACGACCTAGCTTATAAAAAGTTGTTAGCTAGGTCCCTCTAGCTATGACACCTTATAAAAAATTTAGTTGATCTAAGAGGGATCTGGTTTAATAAAATCTAGATTTATATAAAAAATATCAACATTTATATCTGTGTGCTATAAAAAGTATTTATTCTATAATTAATCTACTAATACTTATTAGTATCATATAAATATTGTTTTTAAATAAGCTTAGTCGAACTTAAAATTGGTTGCAAGCTAAGGCTAATCTACTAATACTTATTTAGTGTCATAAACACTATTTTTAAATAGACTTAATCAAACTTGAAATTGTTTAATTTGAAATTGGCTACAAGCTAAAAAGGTTAATCTACTAATACTTATTTAGTTCCATAAATATTATTTTTTGAAAAACTCAATGAAATTGGTTACTTGTAAAGAGTGAGCTGTGCATTCAAGAGCAAGGAACTGAGCCACCGAGGAAATACGTCTTTGCCAATGGCCACACAACACAAACGCTTGCGTCGCGATATAGGTCGTCATTGCCAGTTTAGGGCTTATTTAGATGCACATATATTTAATCAGTCCATATATATCGGAGTAAATTGAGGTGGAGCTTAATTTAGTTTCCACCCTACCCATATATTTAAATCAATCCATATATATTAGAGTAAATTGAGATAAAACTTAAAGTTTCCACCCAATCCATCCCAACACATATACGGAGTACATACAAACAACCTTAACTGCATAAAAAAGGCAGTGCTCACAATGGACAAACAGCCATGGTCATCCATACAGATGTCAGAGCAAGGCACAGCCGAAACAGTTCCCAACTAGGCTAGGTGTACGATGCTAGTACGACCCAGTGAAGGGCGGTCATGTGGCTAGCTTGCAAGTGAACAACTGGAGAGTGGAAGTGCTTTTTCGTTTGGAACATGCTAGGCCCCTGATTGTTTGGCCTAACAACGATATATTGGTCTCGTCCGCTTCGCTAAAAAAACAATCCAAAATATTATTTCGGTTGATTTGTCGTGACAAAAAATATTATTCCGGATGAAAAAACCAAGCTGAAAAATACAGATTATAAGCCGTGGGAGGGTTTACAATGAGGAAATCTGTCCATTCTATGCTTAGAATAGCGAAAGCGAGAGGTGGTGTGCCTGCGCTTTCAGCTGCTCGTTCGTCTCTTTCAGTGAAAGATACTCCTCCATCACCACGTCCTTCTCCTGCATATATTTTATAAACACAGAATTTTATACGTACGCCCATACCATACCAATCCGTTGGTACACGAAAGGTACTTACTAGACGTACACACAGATACAGTAAGGCTCACCTTTTTCATGGTCTCGTTCTGTGACGACAAGTCTGCAACTTTCCTTGCCAGTTCATCTCGAATCGCCTAGAAACAAATAGCAAAGTCCCCTCAAAAAAAGAAAGAAAGAAACAAATAGCAAAGCAGGAAGCTTGAATTTCAGCAAGGGATCGGAGTAGCTTTATTGTTCTTGCATACACATTAGTGCGTGAGAAAAATCGTCCAGATCGTGTACGTAGCAGCTAGACTGAATTGTGAACTCTGCAGAAGCTAGCTAGCACAGCACTGGATCATGCATGCATGGAGCGTGGAGATGGATATGGACATCACCTGACGGCGGAGGATGGACTGCCGCGCCGACTCCCGGTTGGCGAGCACACGCCGCAGCCGCTTCTCCTCCTCCTCCGCCTGAAATTGGAATCAATTGTTGCACCCAGATGATCGACGACCCATCAGACAGACGGCCGGGCACATACAATCGCACAACTAAAACTAACGGCTAGGAGGACTAGTCGCCGGGCGCCGACTAGCTAGTTACCTCGGTGAGCATGTGCCGTGGCCTGGGCCCGTGATGAGCAGCACCGGGCGCGGCGGAGGGCGCCGGCGGGCGGCCGGCGCTGGAGCTGCTGGAGCAGGACGGCGACTGCTGGACCCCGACCCTGCCGAGCTGGAGGCTCAGCCTCGTGCTCGCCATCTCCTCGTCGTCGGTCATCTCCTCGGCCGTGTGCAGCCGCGCCCGCGCCTGCGCCTGCGGCTGCACGACGCTACTGCCTGCAGCCATGTCAGCGAGCGCCAGGGCCGCGCCGAGCTCGACGTCGGGCGTGATGCCCCGCCGGCATTGCCGCTGCCCGTCGCCGCCGCCGTCGGACATGGGATCCTACTAGCATCAGAAGAAGGGCACGGTCGGTGGGTGTGATGGTGCCAGTCGTGTACGGCGGCGGGAGGGGTCGCGGTCGCGCTCATCAGATATAATCCTTCCTCCGGGGCGCGCGGCGTCTGGCTGGCCCGTGCCGCGCCGCCACGTCGCGGGCGCCACAGGACGTGGCCGGGGCGGGTACGCGTGGACGGAGAGGATCAGAGGACACGTGGGGTGCCTAGCTCTGCCTCCTCGTGCGCGCATGCAGGGAGCAGGGCTGCAGGCGCAGGCGGTCCACCACCGAGACCGAGAAGGATGAGGAGGGCATGGGATCGCGGTGGTGGGCGCCCACATGTCAGCGGCCCGAAGAGCTGCCTCGTGTGGACCGGATGGCCCAGGGTGGGCTGCGCAACCGCCACCGCCACAATGGCACAGGGCGGGTCTGTTCGGTTCGGTTCTGGCCTTCTGGGCCTGGAAAGCTAACTCAAGTGGCTCCCGAATCTGCGTGCGTAGTTACGGCCTAGTCCGACTGCGTTGGCTGATAGCGTTACTAGCCAAGTGACACGTCCGTCCCTTGCCGCCGTTGTGCCCGAGCAGTCGGCCGTTCGGCGAGAGGATATGCCTGTCACGACACGGCTAGCGAGGGACACAGAGGTTCCTTTTCCATCCTTTTTGTGATAATGCTCAGTGTCCGTCCGTCCGTCCGTCCGGAACCACCCCCCTCCCACTCCTTTAAAAAAAAATCAAATCTTCCCACTTTACACTCGTCGCGCTCGTCCATCTTGCGGTCGTCCGCCCGCCCCACTCCGCCGCGTCGCCATTGCCATCCCCTGCGGCGCCTCCATCTCGCACCGTGTCCCACTCCGCCGCGCCGCCACCGCTATCCCCCGCGGCGCCTCTGACCTCCGCCGCGCCCAAGACAGGCGGCTAGGAGAGGGGCCATCGCCGGCTAGGCCTAGGCCAGGCACAAGCGTATAGCTGGCCGCTGTCAGACCGCGTCACCATCCTCGGTCGCCGGATGGCCGCCGGCCGTTCCCCCGCTTTGCGCTGCATCGTATGGAAGAAAGGTGAAATATGTATGTTGCAAGCCTTATGTTTCAAGTGTTTCATAGGGTTTTTTTTTGCAAATGTTCCATATGGATGTTGCAAAAAGTAGATCGGGATGTTGCAATGGTTGTACACGTACGTTACAAGCTTCTGTTCCCAATGTTTCATCTGTTTTTCCAGACGTATGTTGCAAGTGTGTTTATTTGGATGTTGCGTATGTTTCACACGTATGCTATAAGTGTTTTTATTTGGATGTTGCGTATATTTTACAATGGATTTTCATATGTTTTCGGGTGTTTTGCAAGTGTTTCAGACGCATGTCTCAAATGTTTCATCTGTCTTCAGACGTATGTTGCAAGTGTTGCATTTGGATATTTCAAAGTAGATCAGGTGTTGCACATGTAGCAATGGCGTCGGTAGTTGGCAGACAGTGGCCTGCCGCAAGCCTTCGGCTCCTACCTCACGCGGCGCGCATCGCCCTCTCCTCTCCTCTCCCTCCCCTTCCTTCCCTTCCCTCCATCTCGCCTCGACGTTGGCGTTAGAGCAGGGGTCGTTGAGGGTGCTACGTTCGGACGTGGGATGCGGGGCGTGGGGAGCATGGGATGAGATGCGGGAGACGCAGAGGATGCGATCTTGGTGGCGCTTGGAGCGTTGAGCAGTCGGGACGAGTCCTGCGGCCGTACGTCCGGACGCTAGCCCTTCCGTGCCTCGAGCTCTCAAGACTCACCTCCTCTTTCAGTTACTAGTATTTAAATACCCATGTTTATATTTTTTTTGTTTGGCAAAATTTTGCCAAACTCTGATTTTGCAATTTTACGCTTTTATTATTGGTTGTTACAAATTTTTAGAGCTTCCACCACACATGTTTGGTTGTGCAATCAGTTAAGACCAGCTTCAGTGGTAGTTTAATTTTCATTTAATAAGTTGTCACATAAAAACTTTTGATGATGTGACAATGCTTTTAGAAAGGAGAGAAGAAAATAAGTTTCATAGAAATGAAACTCTCTTGACATAATTACCAACTCTCTATTTGTCATAATATTAAATGTCTATGAAACATGGAACTTTTCGTTGAGGGTGGGTGATTTATCCATGTTTCATTTTATTCTATAATCTTTATGTATGGTAATACTGAAAACAATGTCATGAAACTTTCCACCGAGACTGGCCTCGCATATCTTGTGTTACGAGTGTTCCAGGTGTATTTAAAAACAGAGACAAATATATATTTTTGTAGGCCCATCAAATATCACGGTTCGACGGCCGCAAGGATAAGAAGATCTGCAATGGTTAGCTCCTCGTCACCGTCGTGTGAGGTTGGTCACGCGGGGCAGCGGAATGACTTTATAAGTTGGACTGTTTTTTACTAACTTTGGCCACCAAAGTTAGTTAAGTGGTAACAAAGCATGGCTACCAACTACCGTTGCAAATTGGCATACAACTAAATAGAGATTAACTAAAATTGGTCAAATAAAAGTACCAAATTTCAGACTGGCTACCTCGAACACATTTTGACGTAAAGTAAATATAGGCGCTAAAATTTGGATTTCTAAAACGTAGCTAGGGATGCAAGTTTTTCTCTCTGGGTGATTGGGCACCCGTTTTTCAAAAAAAAAAGACTGGGCACCCAAAGCTTCTCCAATTGAATTCATATAAATTGCAAACCAAGAAAGGGATAGAAATGAAATACTCTTCCCATCCTAAAATGAAAGTCGTTCTAGATTTGGCCTAAGTCAGATTATCTAATTCGATCAAATTTATATAAAATTGGTGCCCATATTTATGAAGTAAGTACCAATAGATTTATTAGGAAAAAATATTTTTCTCACTATGCCTACCATCTTACCTTAGTTACGTATTGAGGGGTTGTTGGGTTAGAGGCCTGCCAAGCAGCTCGCTAGCTCCCAACCCAAACAGCAATCTCAAGTTCTCAACCTAGGCCTTCAAAATTGGATGTCTGGGCCAGGAGTAAGCGTGATACCTAGAGATGAAAAGGCAACATCAAATTAATGGTTGCCCATGGCTACTAAAATCTTGGAAGATAAACTGTAACTTACATCCAATACGAAAGTCTCCACAGGAGATGTCATAGGAAAATAATCAAAACTCTGAGAAAAGGTCACTCCTTGTAGTGTGATGATAAAAAACCTGAGGTAGATAAATTTGCTACATGCCATCGGACATCGGTGACCATCTGCATAAGGGAGTCAGATTAATTGTGTCTCAAGTTCTTCTGAAACATCATTTACAAATTTGAGAGCATACCTCAGTGCTTGAATGTACACCAACAGCTTCAAGATCTTTGCATGATGGATGCAAGTTCAGCGTGACTGTAGCAAACAGGGCTACAACACTCAATGTAAGGGGGGCCTTTTTCACTTTCAATGCTTCCCCATTTGAGAGTTGTACGTGCTGGCTACTTCCAAAGTGAAAACTGGATAGATTTTGAGCTCTGCTCTTTATTGCTTACAGCTTATTGCAACCGAACAACGATAAGTGAGTTACCTAAGAGCTACAAATAGACTACCTATTCTATATTTGGACAATGAAGATTAAAAAAATACACTCCAAATAAATTTCCCCTCCAACTACCTACGTCTGTGCACCAACAAATCTACCTACCTATTTTTCTCCCACCCGCCTCTCTCTCTCTCTCCCCTTCGTCGAGCGCTGTCTTTCCGGCGGCGTCGCCCGGAGCAGGAGCCTCGCCGGCCCCTTCCGCCGCAGCCGCCGTGGTCCACGAGTCCGGCGAGGCCGGATCCGGTTGCCACCGTCTCTCTCCGGCGCGGCCTTGCACCGGCTCTGCGGCCTGGTCCGGAGCGGCGGCCCCTGCCTCCGGTGTTGCTACCCTGCCCCCGGCGTGCGGCCCCCTGCCTCTGGCGCGCGGCCTGGTCCCGGCGCGGCGGCTGCTGCCTCCGGCTCGTGGCCTAGTCCCAGCGCGGTGGCCCCTGCCTCCAGCGCTGCGGCCCTGCTCCCGGCGCGCGGCCTGCCCGGCGCTCGGCCTCCTCCCAGACGCGCGGTGTGCTCCAGCGAGAAGAACATCGAAGATGGGGATATCTGCCAGTCTTACGGTGCCTGCCTCTCCGGGGCTGCCTCTCCGTTTGCCAATTTCATCGTGCCAATTACAAAATTGCTCGAGAAAACAGTAACCTTAATATTTTGCTATTTTTTGCTGACGTGGCACTCCACTTCAGCGTGCCAAGTGGCGTGCCAGCATGGAGCTTGACATCCCCGTCTGCCCAGCTAAACGGCGTTAGCAGCTCCCGTCAGTCCCCATCTCTCTGCTAGTGGAACCCAGTTATCAGTACCTTCTTCTTGTGCGTGAGGAAGCAGTCGAAGGTGTCGGCCTAGGTGTCGCGCTTGGTGAGGAAGCTCCTGAGGTTGAAGAGCTTCTTGACGGTGGCCGGGATGGAGGAGTGCTCGAACTCTAACGTCGGGTATGGCCCCGACGGCCTATGCAGCACGATCCCAGGCTCGATCCACGGCGACACGAGCAGCGCCGGGACACGAACGTCGAGGCGGTCGAAGCCAAAGAAGAAAGGCGCGGCGCTGACGATGCCGTCGGGGCTGGGCACAACGTCGGCGCCGGCGGGCGTGGGCACGTGGTTGTAGAACCCGCCGTGCTCGTCGTAGGTGACGACGAGGAGCGTCTCCTCCCACTGCGGCCTCGACCGCAGCGCCTCGTACACCTCCTTGACGAACCGCTTGTCGCAGAACCGACCAATTTATAAGAGTACAAGTACAATGGCAGCCCGCAAGCGGTCGCACTGTCATACTTGAACCCATATAAACCCGGTAGTCCGTCGAGTACCACGACGGGTCTCGATAAACGATTTACAACAACCAAGATCGTACATGATTCAACATACATGCCACATATTACATAAAGTTCACAGATACCTTTCTCCATCGTAGTACGAATAAAAGTTATTACAAACCGAGTTTGATAGATAAAAGCGGAAGCAAATTAAGTTTGAAAGTAACGCTTCCAACATAGTTTAGTACAAAGTGTCAAGATACGATCACGGTCCACAAAAGCATGTAGAAGGATTAATAAGAAGCACACCCCAAGGCTTACTCCTCATCCACAATGGGATAGAAGCAACTCTTGCAATAACCATGATACACATTGCCATCGCAACATGGGAAATAAAACCACGAGTACGAGAAGGTACTCAAATAGACTTACCCGTCATAAACCGAAATAAAATGACTCCAAGAATTATGCAAAATCAGTATAAGTGGAGATAGCTTGACAATATTTTGTATAAAAGCAAATGACTTATTGTACAATTAGGATTCCTTTATCAATTATTTATAACTATCCATCTCTAGATTAGCAACTATCCCCTTGCCAAACATGTGGTATATCCATTTAAAAGCATGCAATAATAACCATAGTAGGTATTGTAATTCCATATTCATTCGAACCATCATGTTCTATAACACAGCTTACTACGATGTTGGGACTAGCCAAGTTTCTCACTATCCGGAGAGACGGCGATTCAATCGATTTCAACCAAATTTGAATTTATTCCTAACACAAACCAGTCTACCGACCACGATAGCCTTAGGTCACCTTTGGTACAACTCAGTACACATTTCATGGGTCCAGTCTTTACTTGCGCTGTCTGGGACACCAGATGCCGGGACGTTCAGGCCTAGCCTCGCCTTGGGCTCGGTCGATCGCCCCTGCAAGGCGCGCACAACAAAAGCGGGTCCCGCCTAAGTTGAATTACTCGGCCATGGTCGGAACGAGTTATCCGGCCAGCTAAGTGATAGGCATGCGTTCAATCTTGTCAGAAGCACTAACAACGGTACGGTCCTTAATCGACACAGACGGGGATAGATCCACACCCAAGACCTCCATGTCTTGTTGCTTCTCTATCGACATCCCGCCCGGTCTCTATTTACATTAACCATGGTTCTTTTCCACGATAGCAATTATAACCAACCGTGCTCCGGTATCCACTTATATCTCGCAGATGACAGGAAATCACCCGACTTCTACCGGTCTAAGCATGGCTAAGCATATATTCGATCCTAGACCTATACCGGTTAAAGGTGTAATAGCTGGACAAGAAAGGTATATGCATCAAGTGGTTCTATTCAACTCTTATAACCTAATGCATCAATCATAAGTACTTAAGTAATTATTTGTAAAATACTGTGAGACTTAGAATGCTCCGGGGCTTGCCTCACAGAAAGGAAGTAGGGCGGTGATCAGGACACTCCGGAAGCTCTTCAGGATTCTGCTCCACGCCTTCGGGAGCTGCGGCTTGCGGATTCTCCTGCTGGTCCCCTTCCTCTGCTTCTTCGAATTCCAGCAACGTTATTTCTTCCTCCGATCCTAGATGCATGAATATGACATAAGTATTACGAATGCATATATATTATCAAGTGCATCATGTTTATTGAGTAGGTGCATATCTCTTCTCGATTATTTAATTACTACTTCCACGATGCATCTACTATATCACAAAACAGCAGCTACTTGTTTTACTCATAACAGGAGTTCTACTAATCCAAATGCAGTGATCCTGGACTTTCTGGAAAGCTTATCAAATTATCTACAACTTTGTTATTAACCATTTTTACAGCAAACATCATCTCTATCATGCAACTTAGCAAACTCCAGAATCTGTCCGGAAACTATTCCAATTCGCATTATAAAGTAACAATACTTCTACTTCATATAAGTATTCAAATCTTTACGACTAAAAGTCTACCAACAGTTTCAGCATACCAAATACATCCAAGAAAACATAATGGTGAAGCCCAAACTATTTATTTAAATGCCTTTATTATTTTATTTGAACCCATAGGTTAAATAATAAACCTATACCAAATGTGCATCATAAATTCTCAGAAAATTACAGTGGCTTACTAGTGCTACCAATAGACTACTGTAAAAATTTCATGTCATTTTGCCAAGTAAAACATCATATACAAAAATGACAAGCCAGCAAGGCTTGAAATAGCATAAATATAAAACCCTATTGAAAAGTGTCAAGCAACAGATTTCCTATTTTTCTTAGCATCAAAATACTACTAGGATTACCTCCAACAAATTTCATGAATATTGGATTCCTAAATAATTTATAAAAATTCACACAAGGATTTCCTAATTATAAAATAAAAATCTATAACTACAAATCTACACATGCACTGATCCTGAAATTTTTACCAGAATTCATATATGGCAAGAATAGCTTACCACAAAAATTTCATAATTTTTGGAGCACAGGAACTCTAGATATAAAATAAACAAATTTGAATGCATTCAAAAGCACATTTCAAATCTCTATTTAAATCTTCAAAAAATTCTACTGTAAATGTCAAGAACATATTTTTCCTAAATACTACACTTCCTAAGGAACACTACACAATTTATTGCACAATTTTTGAAGCTACCAAACTGGAGATCTAAAATTCACAAAACATATGAAATCTGCATTCAAAATGAACTAGCTTTAACACATGGAGTTGCTGACCGGTGGGACCCGCGGGTCAGCAGGGCCCGCCTGTCAGTGAAACCAAAATAGAGCCGGCGGCGCTGAGCAAGCTCGCGCGGCCACGGCTCATCGACGGCGAGTCCGCCGGCGGTGACGTCTTCACGACATGACCCCCACTATATCCCGGACCTATTGACCTACTTGACCGAGCCTATCGTCGGAGCTAAACACGGTGGCGGCATTCATGGTGGCACGGCGGAGCCGAACAACGGCGCTACGCCGGTGGAGGCCACGACGAAGCACTAAAAGGCGCGGACAAGCTTCCATGGGCTCAGGCGAACCTAACGCACACGGTTGCACGACCAACGGTGAAGGGAGGTGCCCTAGCCACGGTGACGGGCGCGGCGGGGATGCTCCGACGAGCTAGCGCACGGCGCTGTTGCTTACCAAGTGCGGTCAGCGAGCGCGTGCCGAGGCGGTGAGTCACGGGAGATCTGGTGGAGGTGTTGCAGTGGTGGAGAAGCGATGAGGGCGAGCTGGCGTTGGCTATGGCGACGGCGGAGCTGCTGGAGCTCGGCGGCTGTGTTCGCGGGTGCTGCGGACGGCGAAGGAGGAGCAGAGGAAATGCAAAATGGAGCGCGGGAGGGGTCGGGCGGTCGCTGGCGATGTTAATGGCTGGCTCTGGCCGGCCTGGCCGTGGTGGGCAGGGCGCTGGTGACGCACGGCCGTTGCGGCCACCACGCGACGCGCGGGTTCTGCCGGTGTCGGCCACTGATGACTGAACGATCGGCCGATTCAGTTAGTTCAGACACGCAGCGATGATGCCTGACATCGCGTTTTCACGTCGATCAAACTCCTAATCCGTGGACTTCTAGCCAAAACTTCCTAAACCAAAGTTGAAGCCCGAAGTACCAGCTACAAATCTTGTTCAAAGGACTCATTCTAATTCGCAACAGAAACGGAGTAAAATCACCCCAAATATCGGCTGTCAGTCAGTCAAGGTTCATGACTTAGCAAAAATTTGCTAAGTGCTGCAAATGTTGATTTTTCTGATTTTGTGATCCAATTTCACACATGTTAGGAGCTGAATCAGTTAATGACCCAAAAATAAAAGTTGTTCCTTATGTCAAATACTACAACTTTGCTTTAGTGATCTCCTCCATGCAAGGTCTCTAACACCTAGTTCAAATTTGGTCAAACATGTCACTTTTAAATGATGATACACATCAAAGCATGGCTTAATGACCTATTTACCCCTAACCATGAATATCCAAGTTGTTCATAATGATACTCTAAACATGTTCAAGTCATTTGCAAGGTCATTCAATCATTTCATGTAGTAGTCACTCATAGGGCTAGCTAGTGTAATCACATGAAAGCTTAAGTGTTGGTTCATGAAATGTGACCATGAACTAAGTCCTATTTGCTAACCTAGGTGTTGCTACATGTTTGTGTGACTCACATCCACCAAGTACATGTGTACACTCATGATCATATGCATAGATACATGGAGACATGAAATAACGAGAAAAGTTGCATATGTTTAAGAAACATGCGATAACAAGCAAACGTTGCAGATGTTTCAATCCAATGTTTCAATGGTAAATGCTTGTTTATGAATGCTTGATGATCATGCTCATGTTATGCAAGTCAAGTTATGCAAGGATAACACCCGAGGTGTTACACCGCTGGCCTTCGGCCACGTCATGGGACGGGTGGTCGTCGTTCCCCGTCATGGATCTCCAGGTCGAAGTAGCGCTACTCCACGACGACGTAGATGGGCAGCTTTCCCTCCTGGCAGTGACGCCGGAAGTCGAGGTCGAAGGCGTGGAAGCTGCCCGCATACTTGAGCTGCCGGAGGTTCCGGTAGAAGAGCGTCGACGGCAGATACTGGAAGTAGATGCCGAAGGAGACGAAGCCCTCGTCGTGGAGCGCGTCGAAGATGGTCCGCTGCGGGAGCCCCGCCACCAGCACCTTGGTGTCGTTGCTGACGAGGCCGTGGGAGGTGGTGGAGTGCACGAACAGCCGGTTGGGCTGCGTCGACGCCGGGTTCGACGCGAACCACCGGTCGCACACGGCGAACTCCTTCACCAGCTCGCGGTACACGGGCACGGCGTCGGGGCGGAACCCGCTCATGACGGTGCCGGACATGCCGGCTTTCTCCTTCTCCGCCTGCTGCGCGAAGCCGGTCATGGGCGACGCTGGCACGCCCGGCGGGGTGATGGGCGTTGTGGCGGCGTCGATGAAGGGTGTCCCGTACACCTGCGCGAAGCCGATCATGGGCGGCGCTAGCAGAGAGGGGAGCTAACGGGCAAGCTGCGTGGAGGAGGCGAATGAGCTGATCGAAGCGTACAACGGCAGGCTCGCGGCGAGGGTGGACGGCAGCGTGGAGGAGGGGGAGCTGACGAACAACTGCGGGCGTCGTTGGTCAGCGGAGACGGAGGCGTTAACTTCCACGCTGGCGCGCTGATATGGCATGACACGTCAACGAAAATGGCAAAATATTAGTCTGGTTACTGTTTTCTCGGATAATTTTGTAATTGGCACGATAAAGTTGACAAACGGAGAGGCAACCACCATAAGAGTGGCAAATAGTTAGATATCCCTCGAAGATGACATGGGAGATCAACGTGTCATTCTGTACTAGGATTAGTTTGGGTAGCCTGATTTAGGTATTACCGCTGAGTTAGAAGTAAAATATGAGCAGAATGAAAATAGGTGACTATCCAAATAGATAAATACGTAGTGTGTTTTAGGTACCATGCTCTTAAGGCCAGATATCTTCAAACAAGCTATCTCACAGCAATAACTGTGCTACATGGATTCCAAAGCTAAGGAATTGGAAAGAAGGCATATGAGCACATCTCCTTTATTCAAGACCAACTATGAGATAACCAAGGAAGTCTGCAATTCTGCACTTCCATGCGATAAAATTGAGCATGGGAATTTGTACTTCTTCCTAGTAATATACAGCCTGTTCGTTTCGGCTTATTTACTCGTATAAGGCTTATAATCCACAACTTTAAACAGTATTTTTCTCTCACACCAAACTAGCCAGCAGTACTTTCTGTCATGGCTTATAAGCCAATTCAGCCGAAACGAACAGGCTGATAGCCGGAGTAAGTGTGAGTTCTTCAATCTGCGGTGGTACCTCGCATTTTGATTTGGAGCATTCAAAAGTTCGAGTGTCTTCAAGTTACTGCCCAAGTTCTTCCAAAGTTTGAGTGGTCCCCTTTGGAATGCAGACACTCTTTTATTTTCTGCTCTTTTCTGTAAAAATAAACTGATTTTGTAAGGTTTCCATATGATTTCGTTGAAATTCCTCCGTTCTAAAAGAGCCCTAAACCTAAATTGGAAAAAGGATGTGCTCAATAACACATCCTCTTCTTTGAACTGACGTATGCAGTATTCTGTGCGTTCCCATGCTCTCCTGCAAACATTACGACCAACGAGTACGAGCATTACAAGCTTCTCATCCAACCAAATCCGTCCCTTGAAAGTTTGATATCTACAAACTGTGCATGAGTTTGCAAGGAAGTCACATGATATGTAAAAATGAACAATATCTTCCTACTAAAGGAAATATTACTGCGGCAACACAAGATGGCAGGACGTTTCTAACACCTCAGCAGAGGACCACAATCAAGTCTATAGCATGATAGCAACAACTCCGGCAAACAGAAAGATTCCATGACAGGCACACAAATCACAGATCTCACGTGGAAGTCTGGGCCAACAAAGAGTGCAGCATTAAGGAATTCCCAGATGGGTCTCCACTCTTCGCTTTCAAAAGCATTCATTCCGAAATTGATACGAGTGTACAATCTTAAAATTTAACCGTCATGTAGCAACAGTAATCATTTTGGGTATCATTGTCGCAATCATACAGTACAACAAAAGCTCAGTAAATGGAGCTTCACTACAAATACAATATACATGGGAAAAAAAACTTGAAAGCTGAGCAGTTAGTGTGCACACGTAGCACATGAGCCATACACGGCTCAGAATTGCAAGTTTGCAACCACCAAGGTACGGGCGTGTATGGTCATGAAGCAGCATATCTCATGCAGATATTCCCACACATGAAGATGAGATCGTCACATATTGAAACAAAGAAAAAACAACTCTGAAATACACTAGGAAGTTGGAGATCTATGAGATTGCATGAGCAAACCATTTCATTGGGCCTGGGCCATGGTCCCCCCAAAGTTCCATCACTATACAACATACAGAGCCTTTTAAATTCTGATGATAACAGGATGAAAGCATCCAAGGCTATTATTCTGTACTCCCTCCATCCCAAATTGTAAGTCATTCCAAGAATCTTGGAGAGTCAAAGCATCTCAAGTTTGACCAAGTTTATATAATAAAATAATAACATTTATGATACAAACTAAGTACCAATAGATTCTTTGTTAATTATATTTTTATAGTATACATATTTGATGTTATAAATCTTTGTAATTTTTTTTATAATTTTGGTCAAACTTGAGAAGCTTTGACTCTCCAAGATTCTTGGAATGACTTACAATTTGGAATGGAAGGAGTACCAAAGAGATGAGCTGGACCAATTCAAATAAAAACTATGAGCTGGACACCCCATATGCTCATCAAATAATTTGAGGTCGTCGTCCCAGTACAGAATGGAAGATACATTGCATATTCAGAACAGTTGGGTTCATAATGTAAAGCCAATAGGGCAAATAAATTGATAAGCATAGTTGCATGACGGGCTCGAATAAAGGGAGATTAACAGTGGACCAAATCTTGCAAAGGTATTATGAATGTTTAAGCATAAAGGCAGTGCCACTTTCAGGTCGGCGTCAATTCCATGAACCACCAAAGCACGAGCTTAACATTGCAGTAAAATAATGCATCCAAATGGTGAGTCGCTTTCTGCAATACTGTTCTCGTGATCATGATATCCGAGAACTGAAATGCCCAGTCAAGTATATTCATAAAAGAACATGCAATTGAACCCACTCCAGATAGATTATATATTTGGCAATGCACCCATGAAGGCAGCAAGTGCAAAAAAGCCTGACAACCAAGTATAGATGTTGATTTTAATCTTCAATACTGTTGTTGATTGTTTATGCTTATTTCTGTATTCACTAAAGATGGCCATTTTATTTCACTGAATTTCAATAGCATGACTTTGTCATTGTGCTGGAATAGTCTTCTGCTACAGCATGACTTTGTCATTGTGTTGGAATAATTGTCTGCTACAGTGTTTCCCAATAACATAAGATATTATTCAGGAGCCTCAGCACAAGTGAGTCATGCAACACTCAGTAATTTGTTGGTGGCAACATGTCATTTTCAGAAATCTAACAAACTCTATTGTACTCACTAGTAAGAATTCTTAAGTCTTAACACAAGCAACTTTTTGTTAATGTACTATCATCATTAAGTGGCATATAAGGTTTTGAAATGTACCAAGCAAACAACTTTATCACACAGGACACAACAGCAAATGCATGTTAGCTGTATCTTGATTGAGATAATCCAAGGACTTTGCACACTTTGAATCTCTGAACAATCCATCACTGCGTTTAAATTATGGGACCATTTCATAAGTAGCACCACAGTTGCTGAGTTGCACAATGGTGGTCCTTGTACCTGAATAAAGGCATTATAGGGCAATGGATGCTGGGGATAAAATGAGGGTATGAACCCTTCTCAATCAACAAACGTTCTTTCACTATCAACTTAATCTTTTTGACCTTGCACCAACTATTGCTGAGGACTACCAATTATTCTTATTCTATGAAATTTTAAGATAAGGATTTTTCTAAAAGAGCTAAATATATCTCCATCAATTCATCACATTTCACCTTGAAGTTATTTATCTATAACCTATATATGAACACTTGACCAATGCTTAACAAATGAAGCCTAAAACAAAGCTAGCAGCCAAATTCACATTCATTTTCAGCTTTTAGTGTGACTACATTCAACATGAATAAAACTGAATGGAACTAGCTGACATACTACTTAGCACCGCATGGCCAATTTTGATATGCTCTAAAACAGGGGAAGGAAAAAGTTTGCACCTCAAGGTACAAATTACCATTATTCAGCTGAATTTTCAACATCAAAAGCTAGGAATGGAAACAGGTTATAGAAACAGACCTAATTTAATTACAAGGTTATTATCAGAATAAGGGAACTAAACAAAATCCCGTATTGATTAACGAAGCAAATAATGGTGTCCTTCCAAATTCAACAATTTCAGATATTAATGGTCAGTTAAGAAATACAGATATTAAGCTACTAGCGTTTTTGGCATCCATTCAGACATAATTAGCAAGTAACAAGACACGACGAGCATAGAACTGGGCAACATTTATGAGAAACCGCCTCTCTTAGCCCATGTAATCATTAATTTCTTGTAACACACAGCATACGGATTGGAACAAATATAAGGGCCAAAATTTTCATATATATGTGATGGATCAACACGGTAATCATGTCCTCGTTCGTTCACCTCAACTCACCTCATGTTTTCCAACCCCTCTCTCGTCAGGGGAAGGAAGGAAACAAAGTAGCCGGACCACAAACACATCGGGAAACAAAATCGCGAAGGGAAAAAAATGGGCAAAACTTTATCACGAAAGCGACGTGACGACTCGCCTCCGCCTCAGTCGAGGAAGCCAGTGCGGCGAAGGACGGCGTTGCGGACGCGGCGGAGGTCGCGGCCCTTGAGCGTCCTCCCGGCGCCCTCCAGTACCGAGCTGTGCGCGGCCGCGCGGCGCGCGACGATCTCGTGCGGGGGCACCACGGCCTCCCCGGAGTCCTCCGCGCTGCCGCCGGCGTGGGCCCACCTCCCCCTCCGCGCGGGCTCCGACGGTATCCGCACCGGTGCCGACCTCGCCATCGCGGCCGCCGCCGCGGCGGTCTCCGGGACGGGGCGCGCGGCGGATCGGGCGGGGCCCCCGACCCCGCCCCCGCCACCGGCCACGGCGCGCTTCTTCTTCTTGCCCTCGTCCTCCGGGAGCGCGGCGAGGAGTCCGAGCCCTACCGCGGACGGGGTGGCCGGCCAGAGCACGTCGAGCTCGAGGAGGTCGCCGTCGGCGCCCGTCGCGGTGTGGGTCGGGACCGGGAGGGGTGGGCGGGACGACAGCAGGAGGCGGTCCATCGCGTCTGCTTCTGCTCCGGGGATCACCAGTGCGGCGGATCTCCGGCGACGCGGCGTCGCTCCGGCATGGGAGGTGGAGGCGGGCTGGGCGTGTGCGAGCGAGGGACACGCAACACCGGCGAGGGGAGGCGGGCGCCGTGGCTTTGGGCTTATAGGGAGGGCAAGTTGTTTTCCGCTGTTTTGCACCTTGGCCCTTTACCTTCTGCGGAATCAAATTCTCGTACCGCGGCTGCTTCGGCCTTTTTGACCAAAACTGTATTGTGGACTGTGGTGGTGCATGGGCTGAAAACGGTTTGGCCCACAGGGTTGTCGGCAAGAGAGGCCCATTTAAAGATTTACGCTACGGGACTGCCCAGTGCCTAGTCAAACAACGGATCGAAGGAAAGTAGTAGGAGCCCTAACGAATTCAACGAGTCGAGCGGAGCGAAAACAGGAAGAAATCAGTTTAAATTCATGCAAATGATGATCTACTAGCATGCTAGTTTGTTTCATTTATCCTAGGGGTAATCGCGTCGTGATGGGCATCTGCTTCAGCAGCAGACGACGCGCCACGTCGCCGCCGACGCCGTCATGGTCGTCGGACCTCCCACCAGAGCTGGCCGGCGTCGTGCTCCGATGGCTGCCGTCGCACGCCGACCGCGTCCGCTTCGCCGCCGTCTGCCGGCACTGGCGCATCTCAGCGCAGCAGCAGCGCCCACTGCTCCCGCCGCCGCTGCCGTGGACGGTGGATCAGCTTCAACGACGACCGCTTCCAGAGCCTCTGCGACGGTGAGCAGCACGCCCTCAGGCGGTGGGGCCCCGGCTACGCGCTCCGCTGCTACAGCACCTTCGGCGGGTGGATCCTACTCGAGATGGACGACCCGGCGCGCTCGTGCTTCCTACGGAACCCATTCTTCGGCAAGTCCATGAAGCTGCCGTCCCTGCCGTTCCGGCAGGAGGAGCAACGGTGCGACGACCCATACGCCCAGTACAGGAACCGCTCCGCGTTCCGCAAAGTCGTCTCGGCGGGCATGGGCAGCGGGTTTATTGTCGCCGCGCTGTTTAAGCCCAGGATGCGAGAGAACCCCAAGACCATCGGGATCTGCCTGCCGCTCATTGGCGCGTCGTGGGCGCTGCACACCCGCCGCCGCGACGACAGGCCCGACTGCGGCACGTGGTACGACGTCGCCTTCTTCCGCGGGAAGCTCTACGCGGTCGACAACCGAGGGAGCCTCTGCGCATTCGACCTCGCCACCGACGACGACTACAACGACGACGACCGGTGTTACAGGCGGAGCACTCGAACAACGACGACGTACGGCGACACGTGTGCGTGGTGGGAGGTGACGTCGACCGGCGCGTTGGAGGACGAGGCGTTGTTCATGAGCCGGAGCTGCTCCGTGGCCCTCCGCGCGTCGGGTTACAGGTACGCCGGCGCGGACGTGCGAGGGGGCCGCGTGTTCTACCTGGAGGACGGAGGCTCCGCCGGCAACGTCAGGTACCTGATGTACATGGGGTTTGGGCGGAAGTGGAGCCTTCGCGTCTGCGGCGTGTACGACCTGCGGATGCGGGACCCTACGACGACGGCCGGCCGGGTCCGGCTCTGGGACGGCGGGCGGAGGTTGTGGGCGGAGGACAGAGGCGGCGGCGGCGATGGTGAACGGACGGAGTTCGTGCCGTTTGAGGTGGCTGTACTTAGGTCGAGGGCCACGTGGTTGTGCCGTTTGAGGTGGCTGTACTTTGGTCGAGGGCCACGTGGTTCTTGCCGCACGCGTGCAGGTAGGAATGCAGTACGATCGAGGTGTCTCGTTCGGAAATTATCGTGGACAAATGTAATGCGCACTGGCACTGCTGCGTTTGGGAATTGGGATCAATCCGTGGAACCTTTTGCATTGGCTAGTTGCTCGATGGTTGAAAAAAAAAGTACTCATCTATCATACTTTGGCCAGAAACTGTTTATTTATATGTGCACACCTCCTAGAATCTCAGGTGACTGAAATCGCCACTCCATATAGGTTTTCTTCTCCGGTTTGAGGCTGACTCGATCGGGCTGGTGTGGCAGGCGCAGGTGTGCCTGGCGAGGGGAGACCGTGGCATGCGCAGCCGAATTGTGTGGACAATCTATTTTATATATCTTGGCTATCGGGCTTAAACAGGGGTCACACGAGGATTCATCACTAAAGTAATTGTATCGTGTTTACTAACTCGCCAATGTGCCAGCGTGGGCAGGGTAAAGGTGAATAGAACACTTTTTTTTTGAATCAAGGTGAATAGAACACTTAAGTAAATGTATCATGTTCACTACGCCAACGTGGAAAAAAAGGGTAAAGGTGATTGTAAAAAAGAAAGAAATCGTGGAAGGAAGAGGCAACGTGAAGGTGAATGGGAAAAAAAGGATAAAGGTGATTTAAAAAGAAAAGAAATCGTGGAGGGAAGAGAGGGCAACGTGAAGGTGAATGGAAAAAATGGGGTAAAGGTTGAATGAAAAAAAATCGTGGAATGAAAAATGAGGCAAAAATGTTTCCATTGCCGGGATTTGAACCCGGGTCGCCTGGGTGAAAGCCAGGTATCCTAACCGGACTAGACGACAATGGATCTGTTGTCCAGTGCGTCCACAAAATTTTATTGAAGTATACAATATTCTTGGTTAAGGCCAATGCACCTTTCAGACTTGTCCATTATATAAAGCCATCTCATCCTCGGTTCGTGTCTCGCCGTTTCACTCGTGAAGTCTCCAAGATCTTGTTCAAGTAAAGGAACTAGTCAGATCGCATTGATAGATCTTGTTCTAAACTTCCAAGTAGTTCCATAGAGATGAAAAAAAAGGCATACCCTAAAGCCTCTTGATGCCATGTTCTCCAGATCCAATCAGCTCAGTCATCTCGGCACTATAGCCTACACAATGCATAAACACGAACTCGCCGTCTTCCAATGAGGGTCTCCAGGTCTGTATATGTTTAGATCAATAAACGTACAGGTCGCAGCATCGCAGTAATTAGAATCTGGGAGGGAAATTACACAGAATCTTTTGGTAACATTCCTGAGATATACCAATCGTTATCTGATTTCTGGCATGGGAAAATCTTGGTGTTCTTTCTGCATTTGACTTCCAAAGCAACGTGTGTGCTCATCAGGTGATCATTGCAGCCAATTAACACCGCAAGGCAAGCCTCTTGATCTGTTTCCTTGCACACAAGACACAGATCACGTGTGCAGGACTCGCCACAGTTTGACCTGAATAAACGCCTGTCAATGTTGCAACAAAACAGCAAAGCAATTTTATCAAATAAACTTGCAGTAGCATCCAGTAACTGCTGCAGCAAAGGCAGAGGTAGCAATTGGGGGAAAACATCATCTTCCATTCCAATCTCAACAAATAATTTCTACCAGTTTCGAATCAGATATCAAATCAGGCTCCGTAACCATACACTCTAGTTTCTATTACAAATATAGCACTACCAAATTAGCACACGTCACTGGAACTTCCTGACCAACTCAAGTTTGCGAGCCTGGAAGAATTTGCAACGGCCTTTTCCGCTAGATTCGATCTCCTCAGTCTTCCTTTTGAAACCAGTAAAGCCTAGGCTCGAAAGCTTGACTTGTCGCTTGGTGCTTCCATTGTCAGTCCCATCTTCATCAACTTCATCAGACTCCCTTCGTATCATTACCATGTGGCAAAAACATAATAGCAATCAGAATCATGTTTTGCTGTTCACAAAACACACTAACGAAATTTGTTCGCAAATGGGCCAAGGTTGAAAATTTGAACACACCATGTAACCTCAACTGCATCCTTGAAGAAGGGCTTACAAGTTTCCCAACTAAAACGAACCAAAGTTGGGAAGCCAAATACTGGATGCTTGTGATCTTCTAACCATTGCTTAGTATCAGGGTCTGCACCATTAATTTGGATGTTCTTTAATGAGACAGTGATATGATTACAGTTTGATAAAATCATTTACAATAAGGAATCAGTTACCTCCTGGATATCCTGATCCAGTTTTCATGTGCAGACTCAGAGCTGTTTCATCAAACACCTAGTTTCGCAAGGCTCTGTCCCTAGTGACCTAGAGTTGCACATCACAACTTTACAACTACGCAAGCCTATAAGAAAGTACCTACACAAGGAAATTTGATTCGAGAAATTACCTTTGCAACTATACTTGCTCCACTAACAACAGGGTAAAGGCTATCTGTTAACACTGGATTTTGGTCGATTCTGGAAGATGACAGGTGGACCCACATGCGGGAAGAAGGGTATTCGGCAAACAAAGCAAGCGGTCGGCTAAATGCATTGCGGTCGGTTACTCCAGAAGGCGGTGACTCCATTCGGGAATAACAGAAGATGGCAGGCAAGACCGATCGAAAAGGGGAAAGTTGTGATAGTAAAGGACTCTAAAAGTTTAGGGTAAGGAGTCGTGAGTTTCCAAGTTTATTTAAATATTCCTTTGTAAATCGTAGTCCTCTAGGACTCGTGTTTTGTCTAGGGTATAAATATTGACCCTCGACCATTGTAATAGGGGTTCACAACCAAATCAATACACCCGGCCCCGTGCCAACTTTCGAGTCCTTTTGTCGTGTCGTCGAGTTCTTCGAGAGGAGTCATCGATCCGTCGACCTCCGTAAGTTCCGACAACCTTGTTATCATGTTTAGTATCATGCGGTGGATTTAAACGTGATGCAAGTAGTCTTGTTTGTTTTTCAATGATCGTGCGGCGGATCTTTGCTTAACAATCAAGAAGTCTTTGCTTATGCTTCGTTTATGAGTAGATACCGTGCGGCAGGTGTTTGCTCGATATGCTTAGTAAAAGCAAGATAGTTACCGGCTTTATTAGATATGGCAAAATCTAAATAGATTCATTAAGTTATCCAGTGTTGCATGTTTTAAATATTTTATATATTTGTAACACACCTCTGCCCAATCTAGATCGAATATTGTTCGGCCCTCTCTTATGGTTTTATTCGCGCTTCAATGATCATTATTTTCAGTATACCTTCGCAAATAGACAATACACGCGTAATGGCTGAATTATTTTAATCTAGATTATCACATGTTGCGGTTCATGCATGATAATTACGTTTAAGCCTTGACGGAACTAGGTGTCGTCTGCGCGTATGCAGGTTTTAGATTGGTTTAATCGTGCTTATTTGCACGTTCCTTCTTCATGGATCCCAACTTCGGTCGGATGGTGAGCTTGGCTATGCATTAATTCATAATTAATTTCACTTGTTCAAACATGTCTTCTCATGTACATGTGTTCGGCAATTAGGCCTTTACGTGCATTCATCTTACGATTAGCGAATGGTTTATAAACTTGTTGGCGATGACTCTTTATAGTCATATGTCGTTGTAAGTAACTTCGGGTCGTATATGAGGAACTATGCGGTATTACCCGACATGTTCCGGTTTGACATTTAATTGTTCTATCCCTTGTTAGTTTTTTTCAGGTCAAATCGACTGGTACGCTTCGGATAACAAAGCACCGGGAACCCGATTGAAGCTACGCTTTTCAGCTTGCTGTGTGTGAGGCACAGTGCGTCACATTTTGTGTCAACACTATCAGCTTTTTTGGCAACCACAAATTTGATTCCTGGAAACTTCTCTGTCAGCTTGATTCTATACTTTTCAGGATCTCCCACTGTATACCTTTTCAAGAAGGAATATAATTACTAAAAAATGTGGTGAATAAAATAATCTTATAAGGATAGCCGCACAAGAAATCCTTTTGAATTCAAGAATATATGCTCTTACTTCTGCCAGTAGAACTCCCATGTCAAGCACTTTTCTAACAAGGCTCATGGCAGAGTTATGTGATATTTCATTCAGATTGACTTTTGACCTGAAACAATGGGTTATCAATGAAGATAACAAGGCCATGTTTGAAGTTCAATAGGTACAAAGGCCAGACATACTTTTTTTAACATTTTAGCAGACAGATCCTTTGGGCATATGACATCCACTTCCCACCCAATAGAGTTATTGACCTTTAAACTTTCAAATAGCTCCTCTCTTTGTTCCTCCTTCAAGGTCTTTGAATCTGTTTCAGAAGACAAGATCAATAGGCTATGCTAATTGTCAATGTGCTAATAGCAAAACTACTCTTGAACTTTTCCGTGGCCCATGGAAAGTAACAGCTTCACCCAACTCTGCAGCTGAAATATCATAAGATAGTAAGCCTAATAACTACCGAAGTACCAAGACAGATTCAAGATTTACCACTCCAAAGGTTGAATTCATGCAAATGTCAGTATGCCACAGATATACAGGAGATGTGTCAATACTCAACTCTAAGATGTCAGAAGCTGACGGTTTTAACAAACTTTGAAAAAGAAGGGTTTAGTAGTTTGCTACAAGATTAATGTACATGGAAGCACCTGCAATTCATGAGTTCATTGAAAGGGACTAGAGAGGAGAATATTTTGCAGACAAGGGAAACAAGAGGAGGATTGCAATTAGCAGCAACTAATATGGTTGCACAAAGCTCCTGACTTTGGGTCTGCAAAAAAAATTGTGATGTACCAAGAATAGCATGTTCAATGTTCCTACTTCCTACTCTTGTTTGTCCTCCACAATTTCAAAAGTTCATAAACATATGCATCAGGTCTTTAAAAGGTACCACCTCTGTTCCAAATTATAATTCGTTTGACCTTTTTTATTCCAAGTTTGGCCACTAGTCTTATTTAAAAATTTGAGCAAAATGTCACTTATTTTGTTGTGGCTTGCTTTATCAAACAGATTGCGGAAGAATATGTATGGAGATGGATATCAAGAATTTACTGATTACAGTGCTATCAATGCTGTGCCAAATCCAGGGTATAGAAGTGTTTCAGGATTGCCTTCTGGAGTGCAAGTACAAGGAAATCAGGATCCAGGCATTGATGTTTTGATGCACAGGATGGCTGATATGATGCAAAATCAGTTCGCTTAAAAAGCCAAAAATCAATCCTATTCATACAAGTCTCCTTATCCGAATGGTACAACAGAGTGGCATTGCCTCCAAGGGTGAAGCCTCCAACAGATTTGACCAAGTTTTCGGTCAAGATGATACTAGTACCATAGAGCACGTCGATTGGTACTTAATGCGACTTGGAGAAGCTGCTTGAGATGAAGCTTGGAGGATTCGATATTTTCCTTTGTCTCTTACAGACCAGCTTTCACATGGTTCACGTCTTTACCAGACTCATTCCATTGGTACATGGGCGAACTAGAGCGAAAGTTTCATTCATATTTCTACACGGTACTAATGAGAAGAAGTTGGTTGATCTCATGAGTCCGAGGATGAGAACAAATGAAACACCATTGGAGTATCTTCGCAGATTTAGGGAGACCAAGAATATGTGTTATTCTCTGAATTTACCGGATGATCAACTACCGGAATAGCTATAGCGAGGAATGTTGCCGAATATCGTGGGAGAAGTTGTTCGGTTTAGAGTTTGATGATCTTGGCCAACTTGCACAAATGTTTAGCGCTTATGAGTAATCAAACCCAAGGATTCGGGAGAGATAATCGCTTTCGGAAGAACAATGCCACTAATGAGGTGTATCAAGGCTTTCTGGATGAAGCGACTGAGTATATTGATGAAGATGAGATAGCCTGCGGTGAGTTGAATTGGGCAAAGGAACCCACTCAAGTTAATCAACGCTGGTTGAAACAACAAAAGGGAACCTATGATTTTGATGTTACTAAAGCGCATGCATGACTTTTTGCATTGTTGATAAAGGAAGGACGCATCAAGTCGGCGAGAAGACATCCTATGCTACGTCTGAAGGAGTGAAAGACAAAAAGTATTGCGGTTTCCATAACACTAATTCTCATTCTATTAATGATTGCCGAGTGTTCAGAATACGAATCCAGAAAGCTATCCAAGAGGGACATTTGAGGTTTGATGGTAAGATGAAAATTGATGATCAGCCTTTTCCACAAAATATGATTTCTTTCTCTGTGAATATGGTCTCTGCCAATGATCTCAAAGGTAAAGGCAAGGTGAAGGTGTTGACTTCTGATAGAGCAAAGGAGAGTGGTGCTGTTGACCCGGATCGGCAAGTCACCGGTAGAGAGCCTGCAACAACGAGTTCGGTTTCGAATAGCCGAACCGAGAAAGGTCAAACTTCCAAACCCAGAGTTACATCCCGTATTTTGCTAAACAAGTGGCAGAGGGAACAAGAGAAGGAATACTGTAAGAAGCAATGGTTTATGGAAGAATACCGGAGGTATGAGGAAGAAGTATACCGAAGGGAACAAGAAGAATACATGACAGAACAGGAGCAGTCTCATTGGGGTTGTTCGTTCTTTAGGCATTGTTGGAATGAAGGTTTGAGGTTACCTGCAAGAAATAATTGTCCGGAGTGTAGTGCTCAGTACTCCGAGTATAGGCAATCTCGAGTCAACCGCCGTCCCGTCTATGAAAGACTTGGAACGAAGGTTCCTGAAGATGATCGGCGCTTAAAAATAGGTGGCTTTGAGAATCAGCAAAGGAAAAGAGTTGCGAGTTTCAAAGTTGGATTCATGATAGAGTGCATGATGAAGAAGTCGACTTCTATAAATACGTATATGGCAAAAGGACGTTGGTGTCCCCAGTGCTGAGGAAAAGTCGAGAAAAGAAGAGTTCAACGGTTGAGGAATAGGGAGTTGGGCTGAAGTTACCAAAACAAAGCAAATATGGCGTCCTAAAAAGAAGCTTGATGGATGTGATCCTTCGGCTAATGCTTGCATGGCTTTTTTCCTCCCGTCAGAGTTTATAGCTCCCGAAAGCCAAGATGTCCAAGAAGAGGTGTACTCTGATTTTGATGAAAGTGAATGTCAGGATTTGATGGCTCAGCTTGTGTTAACACAGCAGGCTGTTTTTGATAAACCAATCAAGAATCGTCACTTGAGACCACTCTATTTAAAGGGATATGTCAATGGCAAGCCTTTAACTAAGATGTTTGTCGATGGAGGGGCTGCTATCAATATCATGCCTTATACTACCTTCAGGAAACTTGGGATGACTAATGAAGAATTGTTGAAAACTGACATGGTGCTTAGGGACTTTCTTTGGCAATCCTTCCAATACCCAAGGTGCTATCCATGTCGAGTGACTATTGGGTCAAAAACTCGATTACTACCTTTTTTGTCATTGATGGCAAGGGGCATATAGTCTACTCTTGGGCGTAGATTGGATCCATGCTAATTGTTTGCATTCCTTCGACCATGCATCAAATTCTCATTCAATGGATTGGAGATGATGTTGAAGTTGTGCATCTTGATGATTCGATAAGTGTTGTTGCCACGAGAATCTACCTCACCGGGAATATGAAGGCGTCGATTGTTTCTCCGGAAAACTGTGGAAAGAAGGTCCCAAATGTTTTTAGTGAAGGCCAACAACCGATCCAAGCGATCGGCTCTCATAGCAATTTTAATGGGAAATCCCGTCGATGGCAACAAAGGAAAGTTGGGACGTGGTTTTATGTCGGCTGATAAGTTGGAAGAAATCAATGTGGGTGATGATTCTAAGCCAAGGCCGATGTATATTAGTGCAAAGTTAGACCCAGAATATAAATCAAGATTGATAGACCTATTGAAGGAGTTCAAAGATTGTTTTGCTTGGGATTACGAAAATGCCCGGATTGGATCGTTCCATTGTTGAGCATCGATTACCCATTAAACCTGGATTTCGTCCTTATAAACAACCTCCAAGGAAGATATACAAAGAGGAAGTATTGGCCGATGTGAAGAAGGAGGTTGAAAGGTTAATAGAAGCAAACTTCATTCGGCCGTGCAAGTATGCAGAGTGGATTTCAAATATAGTACCGGTATACAAGAAAAATGGAAAAATGAGAGTTTGCATAGATTTTAGAAATCTTAATAAGGCTACTCCCATGGATGGTTACCCAATGCCAGTTGCCGATTTGTCGTAGATCAAAGAAGAGTTATGAGGTCATTAGTTTTATGGATGGTAATGCTGGTTATAACCAAATTTTTATGGCAATAGAAGATATTTCGAAAACAGCTTTCAGATGTCCTGGTCATATTGGTTTGTTCGAGTGGATAGTCATGACGTTTGGGTTAAAGAATGCCGGTGCAACTTATCAAAGAGCTATGAATTATATTTTTCACGAGCTGATCGGCAAAATTGTAGAAATCTACATCGATGATGTAGTAGTCAAGTCTAGAAATCGTGAGGGACATTTAGCCGATTTAAGAAAGACTTTGGAGTGCACAAGAAAGCATGGCTTAAAGATGAATCCAAACAAATGTGCCTTTGGAGTTTCGGCTGGTGAGTTTTTGGGATTTTTAGTTCACAAAGGAGGAATTGAAGTTGGGAAAAAGAGCATGGAAGCAATAGACAAAGTTGTGCCGCCAACCAATCTCACAGAATTGCAATCATTGTTAGGCAAAATCAATTTTGTAAGAAGATTCATATCCAATCTATCAGAGAGAGTTTTGCCCTTTTCTCCTTTATTAAAGCTCAAGAAGGATCAAAAATTTGTATGGGGTGACATACAATAGAAAGCTTTTGATGAGATCAAACAATATATGAAGGCACCACCTGTGCTGGTACCTCCACAACTTGACAAGCCTTTTAAGTTGTATGTGGCGGCTGATAGTCTAACGATAGGATCGGCCCTTATGCAAGAATTTGAAGGAAAAGAAAGAGTCGTAGCTTATCTTAGCCGAAAGCTACTAGACCCGGAAACAAGGTATTCGGCTACAGAAAAGCTTTGCTTGTGTGTGTATTACTCATGTACCAAATTTCGGCACTATTTGTTGAATGCCGAATGCGTGGTGGTTTCTAGTTTTGATGTAATCAAACATATGCTATCAATGCCGATTTTGAATGGAAGAATTGGCAAATGGATTTTAGCATTGTCAGAATTTAATTTAAGGTATGAATCGG